ACACACACACACACACACACACACACACACACACACACACACACACACACACACACACACACACACACACACAGGTATATCAGCAGTTTGGTCAGTTAGAAAACTGTTTCCAACGGTATAGTCATCGTGTTACATTCTATTTACCGACACCTGTCGTTAGCAGGTCGTGCATGCAATCATGGTTTTACAATGTTTGTTTCTTCTTCAGATTTCTTCAGTAAGGACCAGCTCTTCATTGTGTTTGAGTTTGAAGATGGCGGTGAGGCTCTCGAGCGCTTCCAGGTGAGAAAGGAGGACGAGATCTCATGTTCACGACTTCTAAAACAAACCTCAAAATTTATCTTTCACGCGTTAAGCACATTGTCTCGTTATTATAGTGCCAAACTTACTGATCAATCACTAGAAACCATATAGATTATAATGCATCCCTCTAATATTACCTAATTAAATTTGTTGGCAAATTAATAATTGCATAATAATTAAATGATTGCCTAATTAAGTGAATTAATTGATGTTCAGTCTTTTTATGGTGTCTTCTTGCCTGAGTCGCATATGTCAGACTAGAGATCGGCCAGCAGCTGCCTGCATGAAAAAGTGTTATCTTATCTCGTGCCTTCATCTCGTATCTTTCTCTTGTATCTTCGTTTCGTATCTCATTTTGGACCTTGTCTCGTATGTCTTCCTCATTTTTGTTCTTTTTGCATCGTTGCAGTTCTCTAGCATGCTGGAGGCAAACAGCGTTGTTCAGCAGCTCGTGTGCTCGTTGGCCACGGCCGAGGCTCAGTATGAGTTTGAGCACCGTGACCTGCACTGGGGCAACGTGCTCGTCAAGCGCACCGAGAAGCGCCACCTACGCTACGTGATCGGCAGCAGCGAAGTGGTGCTGCCCTCTCACGGTGTCCAGATCTGCATCATCGACTTCACTCTCTCCCGCATTAAGAAGAGTATGGCTTCATTTATTATTGTTTTTTGGTTAATTTTGTACTTTGTCTTGTGTTTTTAATACTTAATTTTTACTTATTACATTTAATTGATAATCAGTGACTAACCTAACAGAAGTTGGTGGTTCAGAAGTTGGTTGAGAGTTTTCATGATCTATTTAAGGTGTTCAGCCAAACGAACAGAATTACTATAGCTTTGAACCCAGTGATGTTATACGAGTAAACCCTTTGAAATATTATAAAAAGTGAGGTGAATATGACACATTGATATTTTACTTGTAGTAAAATGTGCATTGTTTTCTTTGACAGATGGATGTGTAATATACGTTGATCTTGCCTTAGACCCCACAATATTCACTGGAGAAGGCGACTACCAATTTTCCATTTATCGTCGTATGAAAGAGAAAAATGAGTGAGTTAAAGCCAAGCCCATTAAAAATTGATTAATGAAAAAAACTAGTAAGCTAAATGTAATCCTAGTTAGTATGAATACAAATGTAAAATGAGCTGAATGCACTATCTGACTTCTATCTCTACCCAGTGTTAATACCGGTGTCAGAGCGGCTTGGGAACTAGTTCCTGTTTTTGTCATAATGTGTTTGAGCCGACGCTTATAAGCCTGTCAATCCAACAACTTGTCTCCCACCTAAAATGACGCATAAATCTTATTAGGCATTGGCAGTGCTGCCACTTTATACTTTTTTAAACGTATTATACTTTTTTAAAGAAAATATACTTTTTATACTTTTTTCATGCATAAATACTTTTAAATACTTTTTTTTGCCAAAGATGGTAAAAACTATTCGGACATACATTTAGGTACACTGAATTTGATGAGATTAAAGATGTGCTTTGCTAGTCTTGTTGCAGGAGTGATGTGTGCTCTGTTCAGTGGAGTGTTTCTGCTCTTAGCTCTGCTGTCAGTGCGCATTGCACAGTGTTTCCCCTGCATTGAGACGAGCGAGGTGGGCCGCCTCGCTCAAATTCTCAGCTGCCACACAGAAATTTGTCCAAAACACCGCCTCGCTGACGAAACTTTTGACAACACAACTTGAAAAAGAGATTCAAGAGTCTCGTACAATGTGTTCAGAATAGCTTAGAATGCACCAAATTGCACCATTTTTTCAAAAATTGGTGCAAAAATGGGTGGACCCCCCCTTCCACACCTAGGCCGGCACCTGCGCTGCTCATTTTGCTAGGACCTCTTAATGCGCAACCATTGCTAAAAAAAATTACCACCTCACAAAGCTTTCTGGCCAGGGGAAACACTGCATTGCGATATTCCAGACTGAGGGTTCAAGAGACAACTCCTCGTGGCATTGCACACATCATTCCTGAAGCTTGTTTGTATGCTGCACATAGGCTATAATGTATAAGGTAAAAAGTTACTCCAAATCATGGTAGGTTGATACAAATTTATACTTTTTTAATTCTTTTTTTTCTGGACAGATATTATACTTTTTTTGTAATATCCTGAGTGGCAGCACTGCATTGGGTTGATCATACAGTGATGCACATGTGATTCAGCGTTAATTCGTTGCAAACTGTGTACCACACAGATGGTCTGGTTTTCAATGAGTCACTCATCACCACTTGATGTGCTTCTAGGAACAACTGGGAGATGCACTGTCCATTTACGAATGTTCTGTGGCTTCACTACATCATGGATAAGCTGCTATTTGAGACCAACTACCATCAGCATGATCCGGAGACGAGGGTGGCATTGCGCACATTCAGGGATGCCTACAAGGAACTCCTCAACCATATCTCGGCAGACGACGTGTACAAAAATAGCATCTTATTCAACACTTAGGCAATTGCGTATAGAAAGAGAGAGAGAGAGAGTACCGCTCTACTGAAGCGGGTGTGCGTTCTGCCTAGACGACTTGATCGTCTATATTGCTTGGCAATTACGTTAGGTTGGGCAGAGGACTGGACAATGCCGTGGCAGTATCATGTTGGCACACCGTTAGAAATATACTACAATGTTCTCTTTTAATTCATCTTATTCATAAATGTTTAAATTGTTATTTTGATTTCGTGGATGCAAAGCCATGTAGCAGTCATAGACCTGATGATGCTTTTAAGTTATTTTTTTTATAATTACGCGTATTACTCACTATGAACCTTTCTTGTTGCTATTACTTGATGTTTTTGTGCCGTGGTATGACCATGAAATGCAATTTTGTCTATTATGCAATGAGCAACTGTCCAGTGCACTTTTCTCGCTCAGTAAGAGTGTTGATGTTTGATTTCTATACTTGTAATGAAAGACTACATTCCTTTGGCTTATGAAAAATGTACCTGTGTTGAATGGGAACGACCAGTTTTGCTGTTAAAGTTACAAATTAGCTGTCCCTTTCAAAATGACAGATCTTAAATCACATGTGCTTTTATTGATACTTTTATTTTACTTCTTTTAATAACTTTAAGCGTGCGGACACTGTGTTGTTTTCCAATTGCATGTTTGACTTCGTGTTAAGGTTTTGTATATGAATGTAGTGTAAATAATAATTAAACCATTGTAATGGCAATAACCACTTATAGTATAATAAACAGTGAGCTGTGTTTGCCACAAATGACATCCCCGTGTAAATAATTTGAATTTGATTACAGTTGTCACCGTGGAAAGTATAGCAATACTGTGAGGTATATAAACTTGTGTAGAATGTAAGCAATTGTTTACATATAACAACCTTACCAACCTCGCATATATCGGATCGCAATATAACGTAAACTGCTTATGTTGTCGGTACAACTGCAGTCTTTTAGTCCGGTAATAAAATCCGAAATCCTGTCATTGTAGTAGAGAATATGCTACAGGCAGTGAAGTGACTAGTACTATACTATCGTATTGTAGTCTGCTATGTAACGACTGTAGGTGGTTATTCATTATTAGTATATGTTCCACGCTCGTATTAACTATTGTAACACGAGTAAGAATACTTTTATTATTATAAAGTAGTGCTGTTATTATCTTACTCGATATTATGGCTATGTACCTCATATAGTATATATTATTATTGTACCCACTAGAGCCGTGGTGTGCATGCATAATACTTCCCTTCGTCCCAGCGCGTACAATATATGCGAGGTTGATCAATATAGTTCCAATATAGACCAATATAGTTCGTAAAGATTATGTACAATGTATACAAATAGTATTTTTATAACGCGAACTATTTTCTCGTTTTTTTTCTCGTTTTTCTGTTATTAGATAAGTTAATGTTCTTAAGTTAAAACGGAAAACTCCACCAAACTGATAAAATAGCTCATAATAACAACTCGGGTAGTTAATAGCCTTAGCAATATGCTAAAAATGTAACGATCTTACTAAAAACCTCATGTCGATACAACATACGCATAACCTTACAAACAGAAATGGTGAAGCAAGCAGGTGAAGACAGCAAATTGCTAAGAAATCTGTGAGAAGACAATGTTTCGGCTTGGGTCTAGTGCTTGGATTATGAATCCTTTCCTTGCACCTTGCAAAAGCATGCTATATGTAGGCCTATGTGTATCATTCAGGCACCAAACGAGATATCTTCTATATGAAGCACGGCTTGATTTCACAACCCCAATACACACCCGTAGCGCGTGAGTAGAAATGCATCTGTACTGTACATAAATAACACGGGTAGAAAGTAATAAGTATTCGGGTTGACGTCGCGAGCACGCACGCACGCACGAACGCCACATGAGTCACACACGCACTCACGAACGCCACATGAGTCACACACGCACTCACGAACGCCATGCGAGTCACGCACGCACGCACGGCACTCATCCTGTTAATTAAAGATGAGGTCCTTGTAGCAAGGCAGCAGGCGGTCAGTTAAAGATGAGGTCCTTGTAGCAAGGCAGCAGGCGGTCAGTTAAAGATGAGGTCCTTGTAGCAAGGCAGCAGGCGGTTAGTTAGATATGATGTCCTTGTAGCAGGGCAGCAGGCGGTCAGTTAAAGATGAGGTCCTTGTAGCAAGACAGCAGCATGTTAGTTAAAGATGAGGTCCTTGTAGCAGGGCAGTAGCCTGTTAGTTAAAGATGAGGTCCTTGTAGCAAGGCAGCAGGCGGTTAGTTAGATATGATGTCCTTGTAGCAAGGCAGCAGGCGGTAAGTTAAAGATGAGGTCCTTGTAGCAAGGCAGCAGGCGGTTAGTTAGATATGATGTCCTTGTAGCAGTGCAGCAGGCTGTCAGTTAAAGATGAGGTCCTTGTAGCAAGGCAGCAGGCGGTTAGTTAGATATGATGTCCTTGTAGCAGTGCAGCAGGCTGTCAGTTAAAGATGAGGTCCTTGTAGCAAGGCAGCAGGCGGT